TAGACATATCTGAATGGCTGAGAGCGCACACAAACATATATGCAGACAGGTAAAAAATGCATACTGTGCATGTAGCCTCTCCACAAACACGCATGCAAACATGTATCCACGCATGTACACGGGTTAATAAATCTGTGTAAATACATCCAACAGTCCAAGGCCTAATAGGCAGGAGCAGCTTGTTGCTGCAGTCTTTTAGGCTCTGACTCTTGTCTGAGTAGCTCAGCCACTATGAACCCGTTTTTACCGATGTCTGGTGTAACTTGCAGGCTTGTGTTGAAATGGTACGTTTACTCAAATGTTGTTTATTTCAAAGAAGGGGGCTGGTGGTGAAGAGGAGAGGAGGGTTTCGGGTTTAAAAAAAAAATCCAATTGCCTGATTCTTGTGTAATTCTTGAAGCAACTGTGGACCTTCGAGCACTTTGTGTTCTCTTAAACCTTATTTTGAAGGGACTGTGTAAAAAGGTAACCATTTCTGCCACAATATTTTAAAAAAAATATATGTGTATTGGTCGCTATGCAGTCACAAAGTTCACCTAGTCGAGGCAGAGGGACTAAAGGTGCTCCGTGACATTAATTTAGGCACCATGCGCCGTCTATAAGGCCCGTTGTGTTACTGAGATGAAAAAGTTAATGGATACACTTCAGTCGACTGTAATTTTGCACACCAGTCAGTTAAAGGACAGATTTGATTGTTTTGACTTGTCTCTTTTTGTTGCAGTTGCCATTTTATTTTGTGAAATTTATTATGTGGCGAACAATCAAGAAAAGCAGTTTTCAAAAACAACATTTTCACCGTGCTGTCTTGATGAGGTGCCCGTCCTTCATATGTACTCTGTGTTTTTACGTAACACAGGAGACTCTTCTTTGCTCTTTTTTTCTCTGTGGCTATTTTGCAAAGCACCTTGGGTGAAAAGTTTAAGCCTTCAACTTGTCAGAAATGCTGCATGTGATAATGTCATTGCCTAAACCTGACACACAAAGTGCTTGTTCCTGTTCGTTCAGTGCATACCCCCCCTGCCCACTAAAGATGCCTTGTGGCGTCATGCACTCATTCATATGGTCGTTATCCCATGATTATAGTTAATTGCCTTTGGTTGGATTTTTGTCAGGCTTTCCTTGATTAACCCTGAACAGTGTGGGATTTTGTCGAGTAGGCTTAGTCAGTAATTCACAGACTGGTTCTGAAGTAATTAACAAGGTCACACTGAATTGATTCATGTCTTCCTTTGATTCTGCTTTAGTCCTGATGTAGCTCAGTGAGATGTGGGCTGAGCTTTGAGCATCGGGGTATTTGTAGTGATGGCTAGACTGCTGTGAAAGTTGAGGGGGTCATGTATGGTCATATGCAGTACAGTCGTGACTCGATAATCCGACACTAAATGTAAAACCTTGTTTTATGTCGGATAGCAAGGCTGTC